ACAAACCTGCTTTATTAGACAAACTGTGAATGAGCCTATCTGGTAAGAACATTTTAAATGTATGTGTGCTGAGAATATTTTGAGAATTTAACTCATTTCTGAATAGTAAAGGCATCCAGTCTGGCTATAATTGGTGCCTGTGGCAATTGTTGATACCCTGACTACATTAGCTTTCTGTGCCCTTTAGCAGAATTGGGAAAACATTTCTAGTACTCGTTAAGCTGTCTATTATAAAGACTTCATAAATATACACGTTTAGAATAGATGATTTGCTATCCCAGTGCCTTAGAGCACTTTAAATAAATTAGATCCTACTATTTCAGGCATTAATGTTGCGGTAATTATGCATGAAGCAATAATGCAATTAAAGTTGCCTTCCAACTTGCTCAAGTGGGAATATTTTTTGAAAATAATACTTGATCTTTTCTTAAAATATATTCTAGAGCAGGTGAATCGGCTGTGTGGCTCAACACGGCCGTGCAGGACTGTTTTAACTCAAGATCCTCAGTTTGCCTGCAGCTCAAGTCAATATTAACCAAGTATTACCATCTGTTGGCTTTTGTTGACCTCTGGAAGGAGACAGCAGTCTGATTTTTATTTTTTTTTCCCCTTTTTTTCCACCTTCTCTAGTGGCAATGTGCCCACATTACAGCTGGCATAGAGTGCTTCAGCAGTGGGGTTTCTTATTTAAAGAATGCGGCCACACTTCAAGGCAGGAAACACGGGCTAGTATTCAGTTTGCAACATGTTCCAGTTTCTTTGTGCACAGTACCTACTGGTTTCAGATCTTTGCAGTATCTGCTATAATAAAGTGTAGCAATATGTCAACCCAGATTTCAGCCTTAGGTCGGAATTTCTTTACATTTAAATTGGACCTCTTGTTCCTTGGGAGAAACATATATATTTTGTAGCTGAGTTATAAATAAGCTTTTCCAGCTTTTTGGCAGCCAGGTAACAGTTAAAGTGAAAAGGTTCCTTTTTTTCCAGCCAGAAAAGCGCTTTAATAACTTTGGGCCCATTTGTTCATAGCAATACTGGAGTTGAGCCCTGCAAACCCCTGGAGCTTGGCAAGCCAGACAGACCTGGCAAGTTTTCCTACCAGCTTACCAAGTCTGAGTCAAGCATGGGTTGTTGCAACTTTAAATATATTTACTACATTTTGTTAACAGGAATGTTGAGGTAGAGAGTTTTTTGGTTGCCTTTTTTTTTTGCTGTTGCTGATCTTAAACAATACCATACTCTCTCTACAACCAGCTGGTCCTTAAACCATGTGTGACAATTTATGGCTTGTGTTAAATTTTAAATAAATGTATATTTCATGCAGAGTATCTGATCTACTCTTCACATTAGGGTACTGAAGAAGTGTATGACATTCTCTCTGTTGATTGGCATTTGATAATGTGAATCTCTGGAAAAGACAAGCACAGCTCTTATTTTTCAGTGTGTTGTAACTGTAACAGCTTTTGCCCTCTGTTTGGAGTGTGTAATGCATCCAGACTTGTGTGTTAGGAATGTTCTGGGTTCTATCTTTCACCTGCATGGATCCTGCCAAAGGAAGAGTAGTTCAAATTTGGCTTTTGAAATACCAGAATGTTGAACTTCCTGATTGTTAGTTCTTACCCAAGTAAATTATAGCAGCCTTGAAATAAGGAGATAACTTCTCTGTAGACAATTCTTTCAATCTTGAAAGACACTGCAAAAGACTAAATATACTGACACATACATATGCGTCTGCCACAGTCAGACACCTCTATCTCAGTAGTCTCCTGTAGTAATTAACTAATTTCAAGGTGGTTTTAGCAGGGTCTTTACTGAATTCTGCATCACCCAACCGTGGTAGGGTAGGAACTTTGAGTAGAAGGACTTGGGTTGTTGAGGGGGTATTTGCACTTATACTTTGACAGTCTGTCTGCTGCTTTGTAAGCTATCTTAATAGCTTTGCGTTTTCCAAGTTTTATATGATTGTATCTTCACTTCATTGCCTCTAATATTTTTGTTTTTAAGTGTGAATCAAGGGTGTTAGCTTTACCTGATTTGGGGCTTTTCTTCTAGCCATAGGCCAGCTACAGAAAGTCTGGCTGCTTTGTTTTACCCACTTGATGGAAAATCAGAAGTGCCTGTTGCTGGAGGACTAGCTGTGAGCAGCTATGGTTTCAGAAAGCATTTTCCAAGTAGCGTGAGCCAATGTCATAAAAGCCCTTAACATTTGCTACCAAACCTTTGAAGTTTGCTTTGCCCAGTAGGATCGAGAAAACTGAGATAAACACAGGCTGAGGTTGCCAGCTAGGCAGATAAGCTTCCGATTTATAAGCTATTTGTTTTCTAGGATTTCTGCGCTCATTCATAGTTGCAATTAATTGCAGGAAGCCTGAAGATAAATGCTTAACTCATCATTAAGTATCTGGGAATATGCTTGTTTAAAGCTCTGTTTTTTTCCTAGGAGAAAAAAAATTCGATTTCCTTACCTGACAACCCTAGATTAATTGTGGTTTCTTCTTGGGACCTCAGGCTTTGTACCCAGTACCTTCCATATCTTTCATTTGAAGAGCTGAAGTATACAACTGGTTGAAACACCTGAAATATGAGAGTAAGACTAGTCAGTATGTGCTTGAGGCTGTTAATCGAGGATTTAGAGATTCAAAGTATCAACACAACAGCAGTAATGACAAAAGTTGGGACATAAAATGTGTCTTCCTTCTGTCCTTTTTCTGGTCAGAGCTGAAGAAGTGAACACTTGAATGTTTATTTCATTTCAAATTAATGCATGATTGACAATGCAAAAGAAAGAGGAATTTTCTTCGGAAGCTGGACAAATATTTTGCGGTATATACTAGGTTAATGCATTTCAACTAAATGAAAGTGAAATGAAACTGTTGGCCCTTAAAGTTTACAAGGGCACTTCTAAACTACAAACTGCAAAAAGGGCAGCAGGTATAAAGTGCAGACTTCAGAATAATGTAGGGTGAAATCTATTTAAACTTTCTGCTAGGAAGAGCAGATGAAGGTTTAAAAAAATGCAGGAAATAAGTTTAAATAGCTGGCCTACTGTGCAAGGCATATCTATAAGCAACTGAGTTGAGATCAGTGTCATTGCTTCTCACTAGAACAGTGAGAGTGCATTAGAATAATGATTTATATCACCATTTGTGTTTAAAATTATAGATGTAAGAACAGCTGTAGAGGATCAGAATAGGAGTTCAACTAGTCTGGTGTCTCTTCTTCTGTGAACAGTGGTAGTTCTCTGTCAGACTCATCTGGTCTCCAGCTTTTCTTCCACCATTTTTTTCTAATTGATTTTGCATCCACAGTATCGTCTGGTAGGCAGTTCCATAGATCAACTGTATATTGTGTGAAAACCTTTCACTTTCTATGTAGCCTGCTAATTTAATGTCTTGCAGCAGTGCCTATTTGAACAGCTATTTGTTTTTCTTGTCAATCTTGCAAATATTTTAATCTTCCCTTGAATTGCCTCTGTCCCATGCTGAAGAGTTCTAGTCTCTTCAGATATTGCATCTAGGAGAACGTTTGTAGGTTTTGACGCAGTCTTGTTGTCTTCTCTTGTCTTCTTTCCTAATTAGTCATCTATACCCATTTTGTGTGGGAGAAGAGATTGGATGACATACAGTTAACTAATTGTTAACTGGGAAGTTTTGCTAGGACACTAATACTAGACAAGTGAGCCAGAGAATAAATGATGCCGATAGCAGAGTGCTGCTAGATATGAGTGACAGAACGGTGTCAGAAAAGATGCCTGGCAGGGAGTGCCTTGTGCTCTCAGGCCGGGAGAAGAGAATAGGTGTGGGGAACACTGGACTGCTCTGCAATACCTAGTGCATCCAGTGCAGTGTGAACTGGTAAGGTAATTGCAAGACAAAATACGTTGAAAGGGCGTGGGGAGGGGGTGTGTTCCCATGCACAGCGTTGAATTAATTTTGAACAAAGTGCCATAGTTTAGTGTGGGTTCTAAAAGGGATTACAGCTACAAATTCACAGAAACACTGTTATCTCTTAAGTGCAATAATTCACATGCAGACTGTTTCAGGATGCCCTTAAACTGAATATTCTTCCAGTTTCCAAGTTACGGGGGAAAAGATAATTCTTTCCCTTCTTTCTTAGATTCTTTCCTAAGCTTCTTTCTGAGTAAGAAACTTTGTTCCAACCCAGTAAAGCAGTTCTTGCTTCCAAAAGCTGCTTAAACAAGGTAAGAAGTAGGCTTGAGGAAGCTAGAGCCAAGGAAACACGGAGAAGAGTTTACCTATGCAGTGCACCTTATAGCAGTTTCCTGGGATCGCGGCGTTACAGAATCCCCTTGGTTGGAAGGTGGCTTGGAGGATGTCTAGTCCAACCTCTTGCTTAAAGTAGGGTGAACACTAAATTCAAACCAGATTCCTAGGGCTTGCCCAGTTGGGTTTTGTAAACTTGTAGAAGGTTGGAGACTCCGCAGCCTCTTTGGGCATCCTCTTCCAATGCTTAATTACTAAATTTGTAGTTTGTTCAGTAGTAATGTGTACATCATGTAAAGAATAAAATTGTAAAATAATTTTCATTATGTAACCGATCATTTCATATTACTGTAACTCTGGGACTATAAAAATAGGACACAGAAGTCAAGCAGAGCAGCCATCAAAACACACTTACCTTGACAATCCTGATTTTTGATGACCATGATGAAAATGAGGTTGGTTTCTGGCCTCACGCATGTTAATTTGCCAGCAATAAGCATTGTGAAATTGTTTGAAGCCTTGTTTTATGATGCAAATACAGCAAACTGCTCTGTCACCTGAGTGTTTTATTTTAAATAAGCAGTACTCTGGCAGTATTTAAAAATGTAAGACTTCAGAAGAAAATAACTGCCTGGCACTGCTGATAATTATTTTTAGTGCATGACAACCAGCTGTCTCCAGATGGTGGTCTGTTCCACATCCTTCTCTACTGTAAATGGAAACATGGACTGCTGGAGTAGTCTAAAGCTTCTTGTAACTTGTCTTTGTTTGTTTCAGCTTTGGTTTGCTTTCGTTAATGGATTTTCTGGGCAGATCTTATTTGAGCGATGGTGCATTGGTCTGTATAATGTGGTAAGTGCTACATGTTTTGACTTGATAGTGCTTGGGACTTGTATATTATTTTGTTGCTTCCCATTTCACGCAGGTAACTGGCTAGGCTGTATGCCAGGAAAGGTGAGTCCACCTGTAAATGCCTTTTTGAATCCACTCTGAGGTAAACAGAAAATTAATTTTGGGTGGTGTTCTTACCACAAAAATAAATTTGGATGAGCACATTAAGAATACATGTTTGGTGTAATACAATCTCCATAAAACTGCAGCTTATAGATGGAATTGAATTTCCTCTTTGAAAGCATCTTCAGTCTTTTGTACTGAATATTTTGCTGGCTGCTCATGTTCAAAATATATACAGTGTCTTAATCTCTGAGTTTTGATTTTATTTTTTTTCCTAACCTGTAACAGCTAGGTGATCAGAGAAGTGTCATGCAGATGCTTTAGTTTGCCTCATGCTACATTATGTACAGAATGGGAAGTATCATTGCTGTCTCACCAGCATATTTCACTTGAACCAAGAGCACAGTATGTTAGTCTAGGAGTGATTTCTGATTTTTGCTGTGCTCTGCAGTGTGCCACACTGCACCACATAACTTCACTGCATTAATCAAAAATATTTTTTAATCAGTAACATTGATTAAAGTCTGGAAGATTTCTGGGACCAAGCTCCATAGACCTGTGCTGGTGTTTTTAAGTTACCTTTGTCATGTTACTGATGCATGGCCTGGTGTCTGGATTTATAAGCCATTAGGACGTGTCAGTGTTGAAAAATCCTTTGCATTTCTCTTTGGAGGGAGGAAATTTAATTTAAGAAGACTCATTCCAAATATATGGTAATACAGAAAGAACCACCAAATTATCTCTATCACTAAGTAGTATTAATGGAAACACTTAACTTCTGTCACAATAATCTTAAAACGATGGTACAAACCCTCATATTCCGTGATACTTCATATTCTTTGTAGAAGATAGTTATTCAGGGATTTTCTACTCCCTTGATTCTCTTCACCCTTATTTCCTGACCGTTACTCAGTCTGTCATTTGTGTTTAGATATTTGCATCTATTATCTTTAAACCTGATTTGATGGATGTTCCTACCCTACCTAAAGCTCATGGATGAAACTCATCTTTTAGAGTCAGTGAAGTAGAAATTAACCCTTGTTTTGTAAGGTCGGTATTTTCTAAAATTAGAACAGCTTGTATGGACTCATGAAGAATCAAGTGCTTCCACAGTGTGAAGGGGTTAGATTTTAAAGTTGTTTTAGCTCTGTCACTCTGTTCTGTGCAGATTAACCCTTTATTTCATTAGTAGTCTCATTAAAACATTAAGTGTAGAACACCATAGTGGCATTGTAATATCGGCTTTTGCACTGGTTCACATTAGCTACCTTCATAAACAAAAACTCCAGAAGGTTTACTTCAAGTGAGAATGTCAATGCCCCAATAAACACGAGAAACCTGGGGAAATACCTTAAAGCTGTATGAGAACTTGCCCTTTTTCGGAATATATTGGGCCAGCGGTCAGTTCCCCATCCCCAGCCTGCTGCCATTTTAACCATCTAATTTATCACTTTATGAGAAAAAGAATGACATTCCTGGTTGCATCTAGGGATGTCATTATTGATTCTCACTAGTCTCTAATCCTCTGTGGTGTTCTTTGCTCTCTGACTGCCGGCTTGCTGCTGGTGGGAACCACAGCCCAACTTGTGCAAACGTGTATGCACTAGAAATGGTTCGTAACTTTTCAAGCTGCTTCTTAACTTCAGGAATGCTTCTCAAACTGTTCAAAATATAGATATGTATAGGATTAGAAAATATTTTTCTGATATAAGCTATTAATGTAAAAGGAAGTGAATGAAGTTTAGTATTCAGACATGCATGATGGTATTAATTTCACTCTGTGTCTGCACCACAGACTGCAAGAAACATGGATACCCAAGCTGGCTTCAAATGAGCTGCCTCAGATCCTGGAAACACTTTAAGAGCAGCAATGTGGAACTCAGCAGAGGCTAATTTACTCTGCTTCTGGCAAAGTGTTCTGCTGCCTCTCTTGGAAAGCTTCCGAGGCTTGGTCATCTAAGTGTCTGCCTGTAGCACAGACACTGCAGTTAATTGCTATCAGTTCATGCCTGCCTGGAGAATCCCCAAAGTGCTATAATAGAGAATGGTCTTTGTTTTTCAGTGTTGTTTTTTTTGGTGTTTTTTTTTTGTTTGTTTGTTTGGGTTTTTTTTTGTCTGTTTTGTTTTTTTTTTTTTAAATGTGATTTCCACATTTGCATTGTCTGTAAATTTAGCTTTGGTTAAGCATATTACCTATATATGTCCTTATGGCTACAACTGCAGCTATATTTGAACCCATTCCCACAAGGCTTTTTTCAAGAAGCACATGTTGTCTTTCCTTTGCAGTCTAATCTGTTTTACCTTCTCTAGATTAGCTAGTACATCAGAAACTAACGATGCTTAACTTCATGGGTTTAAGATAATTGGTTAATAGTACAGATTTTCTTTCATGTTTCTTTTGTTCATAAATCAGTATTTGAGAGTTAGGAATTGCTGAAATTCATGTTTGGACTTGATTGGACATTTGAATATTATGTCAAATAATATGCTTCTTGGTAATAAGTCTTCATTGAAGTCTGGGGAATTTGCTGTTGTCTAGATACTGAAATATCTGAGATCCACTTAAAACTAATAGCTGCTTTTAATTGGTATTTGCTTTCCTTGCAGATTTTCACAGCATTGCCACCCTTTACTCTGGGAATTTTTGAACGATCGTGTACTCAAGATAGCATGCTTAGATTTCCACAGCTATATAAAATTACTCAAAATGCAGATGGGTTCAACACAAGGGTAAGGGAAAGTCTGTTTCTTTAAGAATAACCATGAGCATTCTTATTTTCCAGGCCTTTCTCATTTGAAAATAACTATTCCCCACTGTTACTTCTGCTTTATGCTAGTCACTGAAATCAAGATTGTTCTGCCTCCCAGTGATTTTCAAGGGATTACATTTTCTTATTTAAAAAAAAAGTCCTTGTTTTTAAATAAGGATTTTTTGTTATGGCTTCAACTGAAACTAGTCCTGAAATATCCATAAACTTTGATTCAAAGTAAGATTTGTATCTGACTATGATTTTTCAATTCACAACTACTGATATGTGGTGAGTTTACCACTTTCATAGGAAACGGACAACATCACCTGGATTTTATTTAGTATACAATTGCCATAATGCTCTCTACTAGGTTTTTTTTTTTTTCACAATTAGTATATCTCTATTCACATAGTTATTTTGGAAAATAAAATGTGATTTGGTTTATTTGGACTTTGAGTTTTGAAGAACATATTTTATTTCATTTTGCTATTTTAAATGCTGTAAATGCCAGCATTTGGAGTTCTGCCTTTATTCCAGAACAGGCACGTCTAGATGTATTTCTGAATCAAGGAAGCTGTAAGATTTATTTGTTTAGAAAGGAACTTGTAGAGTACGTAAAGCTCTAGTTTGTGCAAAACAGCATTATCTATAAGTTGAAAATCATGAGGTACAAAGTATTTGCCTGTTGAAAGAAAATAGAACACTTCATAGCACTGAATCGATCTTTTAAATCATTCTTTAACATAATTTAAGAAGGGTGACTCCATCTGTTTGCTGTATTTTGATAAAGATATTAAATTACAAGCATGCTTGTCTGTTATATCTGAAGTCGTTAGAATAAAATCATCCAACTGGACGAGTGTTTTCTTGTGAAAGAGCAGAAATTGGAGGAGGAAATAGATCCTGCAGAAGTTTAGGTATTTCACTTCAGGACAAACGTTGTCTGACTCTAAACTACACAATGAAGTGTTTGTTACCAGTAACAGAGAGGTCAAGAGTTTTGGACTTCACTGATGACTTGGTTTGTTTTCCCTCAGGTTTTCTGGGGTCACTGCATCAATGCCCTCATCCATTCCATCATTCTCTTCTGGCTCCCACTGAAAGTGCTGGAGCATGGTAAGGGCTTCATTATTTCTTATTTCAGTAACTGATGTTCAGTCTTACAGAGCCAGTGTGTTTGCAGAACAGGAGCTTGTGACAAGCCTCAAGAAAATAATGCTGACAGGCAGTTCAGTAGGGTGTAGCTGCTGAACTTGGCTAATGACTTTCAGAACTTACTGTAATTTAGCATAATTATTGTTCGTGTAGTGACTTTAATACGTGAAAAATTCAACTGCTGCTTTGCCAAAGTGTCTTACTCTAACACTGAATAATGTTCTATAAAACACTTTATTTATTTTTGGTAGTGGGTTGAGATCTCAACTTTTTACTGTATAGTGTTCTTACAGCAGCTGCACTACAACCATTTGCTTTTTATCTTGTTGGACTTTTCCCATTCCATAAAAATGTAGGGTAAACCAGAGAGATTTCACTACTGTTGAAGTCTGTGGAAAAAATGAATTGTCTAGAATGGAAGTAGACCAGATCGTCAGGAATATTAGGGAAATGAGACTTTGTTGTACAGATTAGGCTTATTAAGTCTTACCTTTCATGGAGAGCAATGCAACTACATGGTATGTCGGGGAACAGTAAATCCCGTGTGGTTCCTACCTAGCTTTGTGTGGGCAGGAAAAGCCATGGGAAATCTGTTCTTTTACTGTCATAAGAAGTGGGACTAGATCAGATGAGGAATTTGAGGGTGGCAGGGGGGAATAATATTTATCTAAAATCATATTGGAATTTTCAAAACTGAATCTCTTTCCTGGAAGACACTAATTTCAATAAAACCTTCTCGGCTCCTGCTGGATTAGTTGAGGAGGAGGTGAAAGAAAATGGCAAGGGAGGGAAGATGAATGCTTGTATCAGAGTCATGACGGTAAAGATACTTGTGGGAGGGAGATTTCTGTTTCCTACCTGGCGGAGTAAAATGTCAGTATCATATGCTCAGTGGCAGCTTCACATGCTGTCTGATGGACCATACAAGAAACTGCCTTTCATTTCTTCTCTCTGTGCGCTGGGAGCTTGGTCCAGTTTTGGAGGAGAGGGGGTTTTATGGTTGATAGGTTTTTGGTTAGATTTGAGAGGTTTTAGTGTTTTCTTTCACCATTTTTCTGAGAAATGTTAATCTCGAATAGCTCTTCTTTAAATCCAACTTCAGAAATTTTAGGCTGATGTCTGTAGTGGTTACCATTAAAGAAGAATACAGGGTTTGTTTTAGTCTTCCATAAATGGTTTTCTAACTAATTCCTGAACAGATAATGTACTTTTAATTTCAACAATTACAATAAGACTGGAATGTTCCCCTGCTCAGATGGTAACTTCCTGAATTCCTTTAAATGGGTGTTTTAGTTCGCTTTCTGAAGAGGAACAGATACTGAATTTTCAAGTTCCTTTGTATTCCTAAGTGAAAAAGGGATTTCAGTGCCAGAGACAAAAATGTGTCATTTGCACTGGGATGTTTTTTAACCTCTCGAGCTCCTTAGAATGTGAAGTGAATATAGCCCATGAATGGGCACTTGTATAGCTTTAGAAATGAATGTTCACTGAGTGTCCTGCTGTTCTCACTAACAGAAATATCATTCCTTTCAGGACCGCTTAGCCTCCCAAAGTGGAAGGTCATGGAAATCACTGAAAAAAAGGCATTAACTTACTGAATTAAAATGTAACTTCAAAAAAACGGAGACTTAGCCAAAAATGAGTCTATTACTTAAATCTGCACTGTGAAGTTGCACTAGAGCAATATACTGGCAGAGTCGTTACATCAGTTTATTCTAGATCTATCAAAACCGATACATATTTGGCATGCCTTTTTCTTAATAAACTGAGACTTCTGGCATCAGCAGGGTTCATTGGACACGGAAGGCTCAATTCTCTATCATTCTTCACCTTTTTTATTCACACTGGAGGAAAGAGCAAAGTGCCTGTTAAAACTTGATGTGGATTTGTGAATGATGTGGTCAATGCCTGAAGCCAGAGTGTACTAGGGGAGGAGGTGGACTGATAGAGATGATAGTGGCTAGAAACCAAACCAATTCCTAACCAAGGTGTCTCAAGCTTTAGCTCCTTTTGCAATGTTAATGACTAGTCTATCTGCTGCTGCTTCTTAGTAGTTGGGGTTCAAAAGAGAAAAGAAAGCAAGAATATAGAACCAGCAACTTCTGAAAAATATCCACAACCTGTCAGTTCTCCAGAGACACTGACATGCAGCTGTTGTAGAAGAAAACCATACCAAGTAGCTTGGGGTAACTGCACTGGCTATATCTATAGTCTTTTTACCCATAAACTGAAATGAGTCTTCACCACAGAGGTCAGGGTATCAGAGACGCATCTCTGTATACTTAAAAATTGGTTGATCTTGGAGACCTACATTATAGGTACATGGTTAGCTAGGTAGATGACCCTAGTTTCAGAATGTCAGATCAAATTTTGCAAACAGATCTAGCAAAATTGTATCCTCATAGTAGAAGCACTGTGCTAGGCAGTATGTGTTTAGGAACAGGTCCAAGGTTTTATCTTAAGCCTTTTTCATCCCTGCTGTTTGTGTATTTCTCTAGCAGTTGTCTTAACCTGTGAAAATAGCAATATTTCTCATGCTTGAGTAACACTTGAAAGCTCCTGTGAGTACGAGTTCATTTGGGATTAGCATGGCTGTTGAATGTGCTTTCATGGTGTTCCGGTTTTATTCTACAAGGGCTAAGAAAGAGTAAACAGATTTGAAGTATTTGAAAATTTGAAGTATTGCCAAAGTTGGCGCTTTCAAATGATAGATTATCATGTACTTACCCTCGTGCACACTTGGCTAGAGAAGGGGGGTGTGCGGACTGAATGCTGCTCAGTTATTGAATTAACCGCCAGTAAGATATTTCAGGTGTTATATGTGTCCTTTATAGATGAAGCTTTTGCAGATTTTCTTAATTCAGCTCTATTTCACCACAAATCAGCTGGTATTTTACAACTTTATTTTTTTCACAGGCACAGCAAATAATGGGATTTGTTAGAGGTGTCAATAAATAGTACAGAACAGATAGTGACAGAAAAAGTGACGCTAACATACCTCAGCTCTTATAGGCAAATTACATGTTAGGGTCTGGCAAGCATTCTCCTCTTGCTAGGGTGGCTTCTGCCAGCCAGGACTATAGATATACGCTCTATCTGAGCGTTGTGTCCAAGACCTGGCTTAGCACAACTTCTGCATTACCATTATCTCATAGCTTCTAAAAGTGGTTTTAGATGTCCTAAAAGGCAAGATTAGGACCAGTTATTTTCTCCTCAAAATCTCCTTGTTTTTTAATCCATTCTGTTGATAAGCTGATAACAAATGTAATAATTTTTTCTTTCAGATGCAGTATTCACAAATGGCCAGGGAATTGACTATTTATTTGTTGGAAACATAGTTTACACTGTAAGTTTGTGTATCCTAGCAATTTTTGAATGGTAGAATTTCTTTACAGCTTGTTTTTGTACCCTCAAAAAATGGTGCCAGTCAGAAGAAAGTGTAGAAGTAAAATAAATCTATGCTTGTATGTATGATTTTTTTCCCCCTTCTTTTTTCATATCTGTTTGGTTTTTTTATGGACGTGCACCAAAGATATCTTCTGCTCTGTCCTTCCCCCATCCCACACTTCCAGGGTCCTGGGCTGATACCTATATGGTAGTAACTTCTAGGTATAATGGGAAAATTGGGCCATGAACACCTCTGAATTTAAGTGTTAGTACTGAAGCTGTCTGTCTTCTTTTTTCCTTGCAGTATGTTGTAGTCACTGTTTGTCTGAAAGCTGGCTTGGAAACAACTGCGTGGACTAGAGTAAGTACTTCTCAGTATCTTTTATTTTATTAGCACACCTTCCTCCCTAATGAGTACTAATACAGAAAAGAAATACTGAAAATCATTGGAGGCTTCAGTTTTTTAATTGGATCTTTCATGTAAGGATGAACTGCTAAGCTCCATAAGTACAGGATGTGAGAGGAGAATGAACTCGTAGATCACACGATATGTGGGGTGAGAAAAGGGCAGCCTGACAGAAGTGGGAAGAGAATGCTGACAGTATATTGCCAACCTCTCTAAAATATTCAAAATTGATAAAATTTTGCATTAAATCAACATATTACTGTAATTGCTTAAGGAAATATATCAAGAACATCATCTTTGTACTCTGTAGCTCGTTTAAAAATTTAATGCAATAGGGAATGAAAGGTGTCTGCCCACAGGTAACCAACTGGACTTTGAAAATGTCTTTGAAGCTATTAAAAAGCACTAGTGACTTCACATTGGATGAGGGGTTTTTTGTTAGTCAAACAGTTATGTTGATTCCTAGATCTGAGTCATTTACTTGCAGTGAGTGACTGCCCTGTTATCGGTGGGTGTCAGAATCTGGCCAGGCAGTGACCTCCAAACAATACGGAGGGTAAGAGGGTTCCTGTGTTGATGAACTTTCAACACCTTCCTCCCCTTCTTTCCCCCAGCCCCCCTGAAACACTTATCTTTTGATTTTGGTGGACTCCCTTCTTCTCCACACCTACAAGATACCTTATGCACATCTAGTTTTCATGACACACTAAGACGCTCTGCCCTCAAGACCAAGCCATTTTGAGGAGACTCGTATTCTTATTTTACCAGTTTCTTGGAGGGGCTTGGCTTATATCTCATAACCTCATTGCTTCTATTAGTTGAAAATTGTGTTCTTTCATTCCTCACAGAGGAACTGTTGAGATGACATGGTATCTGTCTGGGTTATGTAATTATTAGAGAGCTGCTAATATTCTCTGCCTCATTCTGTTATCTGAAGATAAAATCTGTTCTTTTTTTGCTGTTGCTATGCATAAATTCCATGCAATTTTAAGATGCAGAAATATTTAAAATACTTACTCATGCACTAGAAGAGGGTTTATCCAAGCCTGCATTGGAGGCATGCGAGCCTGCTTGGGTCCTGTTACGTTGTGAGTTATTTGATGGTTCTTCCTCTCTCCTTTTCCCTGGGTAATTGGTGTCTCTTCAGTCATGCGGGGATAATCATCATCCCCTTTTCTAAATTTTATTTTAAAAGATACTGTAATGTTTAGTAGCTCTCGGTGTTCTTTAACACTGGCATTTAATAGAGAGGTTAGTTACGCGCAGAAAAGTTGCTGTGCTTAGAATCAACTCTGTTCTATATACACTTCTAATTCCTGTCCCATTGCTTGGACCTAGTGACTCTCATCATCTTGGATACTGATGTTGGTTACAATTATTGTTTCAGCTGTGAGAGAATCAACATGCAGAGAATCTTTAGGTCACTTGAAGAGTATTAAGTGTACAACATTGAGTTAAGCCTCTTCTCCATCATCGGGTGGATTGGTTACGTGCAATTTGTTCTTGAGAGAGGGGGAGACCCTGCCTCTTGGGAGAACATGGTGGGTTCAGCTGAAAGCTTTAAATAAATAATGCAGATTCAGAGTGGCTGGAAGCCTGGTATATCCAGTAGGTAGTGTGGAATGAAAGGCTTTGGTAAAAGTGGTGGTAACGTGTTGCATAACAAAATCTGCAGGTTGGAGCTGTGTGGAGCAGCTTCATGTTACTGTCTGGAACACTGCAGCAGGTTTTTTTCCCAAACACTTACGGATTTCTTCACTGCTTTACCACACCATACGAACTATTCAGATAAATAAGATGCACAGGCTAGCTGTACAGTGAGTCTGGTTCTTATGTGAGAGCCTCCATTGCTTATTTCTGGCTGGCATTCATTTAATGCCAGTCCGTCTGATGGACTTGCTTCTGCTCTGTGTGTGAATTCTCTGGGGTTAAGTGGCAGATCAGTGGAGAATCAACAGTGCAAAGGTTGGTGGGGTGAGTGTTTAAGGAACATTTTTTCAAGCAGGGCAAGGAGGGCTCTTCTTGAAAGCACAAGCTCTTTCAAAACTAGAGAAGCAGTTCAGGCAGGCACAAACCCAAGATGATTGGGATAACCATGAGAAGAAGATAAATGCAACATAAAATGAGCGAAGTCTTCTCTGAGCTGGAAAGGGCAAGGTAAAGAGCTGCAAAACTTGAAAACTGTCATACCAGCAGACTGGAAAGAAAAACAAGAGAGAGACAAAAAACAAAAAAATGTTGTTTCACTAGCATAAATACAACTCCTACAAAATAACACTGTGTCTTAGGTTCGTTTTCCTGCTTGCTTTTATCTTTACAGGTTTTAATTGGGAAGTCTGTAGGAGTTTGCAGCTTGGAAGCCTCAGTCCAAGCCTTCCTCAGCCTTATGTCCACTTGTTTGGAAGGAAGGCTGTGGCTCAAGAGAAGGTGTCATGTCCTTCTGGGAGAGCAGTGCTGGTGCAATTCTGCCTTTGGATAGGGCTGGCTTTTCTTAAAGATGAATTCTTGCAGCAGCTTTGCAGTACTTGTTCTTTGGGGAGTTGAGCACTACAGTTGCAGGGCTTTATTTTAGTCAGAATCTTGACGTGAGTTGTTCCTAGTTTTCAGAATAGCAAGTAGACAGAAAGGATAAAATCATTCCCTTCAAGCGTTTAAAAATAAATAAATAAATCCTTTCATTCTATTAGTTTTATTCCCATTAAAACTGAGTGAAAAAAAAAATGTAGTTTGTTCTTTAAATAAAGCAGTTGCTGGTCAGATCTCCTGGGTGAAATAGAGTAAACAGCAAAATTTGAAAACAAATCTTCCTGCCCCCTCTGTCTCTCCAGGAAAAGGCCTATCCTATGTCCTGCTCAGCCCAGCAACTTTTATGGTTGAACAAATTTCGAGCTTTCCAAGAGTGCCTAGAAGAGTGCTCTTTCCATTGCCTCTGACGTTTTGCCGTATGAATGCTTCTACTGTAAGGCAGCCTCCAGTTGCTCCCAGCTATCTGCCAGTCTGCACTGGTGCTGCAGACTCTTTGCTGGTTTGTTTTCACTGACCATGTTGGAGAAAGCTCTCCTTTCAGAGGATGCTCAGTGCTTCCAGAGGAGGAGCAATCTTCTCCTTCAAGAAGTTTGTGTCTGTCTCAGTAGGCAGAACACAATACTCAGACACATCTTTGGTTCTCAGACATACTGTTCAAAAAGTCAACAAATACAATCATCAAATAGAAAATACAAAGCTGAGAACTGAACAAACACACTGTGTCCATCACAAGAACCAGTGTGTGAATTTATTCCCATGTTCCTAAACCTGTATTTAATTGGTAATTAAGATTTTTTTTGCAGGTACTTATCTGAATTGGAGCCAAAGTCATCAGCCACAGGAGTTGTTGGCATCCAAAAAAGCTGGAGCCAGTAATGAGCTCAGTTGCTAGTTAGAACTGAAATTACTGATTCTAACCACTGCAGTGTAAAACAGCTTAAATCACCCTGAACAAACAGCAAAATAGTTTGGGTGTGTAGGGAAAAATAACTTTCTTAAATACAACAGAAATAAAATCTGTGCTGAACGTGTTCTTGGTCACTTTAATACTACTTTTATTTACTCTTAGTGAGTCTACAGACTAAAGAACCGTTAAAGACATAAACTGCATTGTATATCTGTAAATCACACAGGACACCTTTAAAACAAAAAAGCAAAGCTAATCAGTAGATAGTGGTTGTGGTAGTGTATTACACAGCACTGAACCTTCCTCCCTGAAAGGTGAGTGGTGCACATGGCTTGTATGCATACACTCTGCCGTGAGGGATTTGTCCATGTGAACTTGAACTTGCACCTCTGAACATTTCTGCCTTGTTGTATGTGCTTGAACCTGGCAAGTGCATGGTGGGAAGGAGGAACTAGATGAGGGAAATCAGAGTTCCGAGGAAAATCTGTCGAGGTTTTGCAGCTCTGAGAAGGACAGATTGGTTGAGAAGACTGTCTGCTCTGTTGTGAGGCAAAGATTAAAGAGGAGTGCTGGTTCAGGCTGTTTAGACAACCTGTGCTACTGGGCAGAGCGAGACCAACAGGCACCTGGACAGAGAAATACCTGTAGGTTAGGTGGATGGAGGAAGTGCCCTGTGTTGACTCTCCTTCTTTCCCTCCTCCTTGACAGTTCAGTCACCTGGCCGTCTGGGGAAGCATGCTGCTCTGGCTGGTGTTCTTTGGTGTCTACTCAGCCATCTGGCCCATGTTTCCCATCGCACCAGACATGCTGGGACAGGTCAGTACAAACGCTTGGCTGCATGGTAAGCCAGAACTGCTGCTTGCTGCTTCCTGAACACTTACACAATGCTTGGAAATGAATTGTTTTTTCTAGTAAGAGTGCTTGTACTTCATTTTAACCTTTTTTTAATCCCAGCATTCACTTAGCCTAATCTCCTCATTAAAAGAGCTCTTTTTTCTCCCCAAAAGTGACATCATACATGATTATACGGACCGTGGCTACTATATGACAGTTCTCAGTTCACTTGGATAGCAGCGAGACTGGCTCTTTTGTTAGTGCTTTCCTAGTAAGACTTTGTGTGTGTGTGTGTGATAAAATGCCAGGTAGAAATTCAGCTTACTTGGTTTGGGGTTTTGTTTTTTTACTGTGGCTTCTTTTTCTTCCATGTATTTTGCTTCTGTATTGTTCTTTCTCCTGCATTCATTTAAAGAAAACCAGAATTTATTTGAGATTAGAATGAGATGGTGGGAAGCTAGTATGTTTCTGGTGCCTTTATAATACTAGGGGAATTTTGGATTTGTTCCTTCAGTGTCAGCTGAGTTCCAGGTGGCAGAATTTTCCCTTTGGTCTCATTATTTCAACCAGTGGTGAAAAGACTGAGTCACGAGCCTGTCAAAATCACTCAAGAGCCTTGTGCATATTTAAAATGGGGATTTACCATGAACAATGAAGGATTTAATAAATGTATGGCAAAAAGTTATTCTGTAGATGTGGAATGGCTGTCAAAATTACCAGAAAAAGGTATTTTGTAATAAGTTCAGAGGTTTTTTTTTAATGCAAAGGTGCTTTTTATGATACAGAAAGAAAGAAACTAGTTATTTTAACAAAGAATCTAAGCATATATAACTCATATCATCTTGTGTACGGAAAAAGAATAATCAAGCAAGCCAAGTGTTGGTAAGCCACTTAGATTTTTGATTTTTGTCTCACATTTGTACTCAATAAGAGCAGTCAAGCATGATTTTGTTACTCCTTTGGCCTAATACATATTTTATTATCTTGTGCTAAAACAGTGGGGATAATGGAGGCTGTGGTAGATTTTAATGGACAGTTTTTGACAGCAGACAGTGACACCTGACAGGTTGGGATCAGCAAGTAAGTGACTGACAGACCAAGCCTCACTCCTGATAATATTTCATTATGATTTTTGTGTGTTTCACAGCACATACAGCATCAGTAGCTCTAAATCACATTTTCATATATCAAGAAGGAATTTTATTTGAATATCATGCAGAACCAAGAACTACTTGTCCTCCACAGCAGAACTTGTAGTGCTGCCATTAATGTGTCAGCCTTTCAGCCTTCGAAAACACAGGCAAGAAGATGAGCTGTTCCTTTATACAAGAAGGGTGAAACTATCAGCTTTAGCTTAGTGTTGCCTTTTTTTTTCTTTTTTTCCCAAAAGTAGCTCCCGTTTTTCTAATTGCAACTGCAACAAAGTTCATACTGTGTTAATCATCAATGCTTGCTCCAACACAAACCACAGGTCTCGGAACAAAAGCTTCATGTTAATAAGATTTTGGTTTTGCTTGGATACATTTTCTGAAAATGTTTCTATTTAAACTTTGGGTTTATGCTCTGGTTTTCTGACATTATGACTTGAGAAGCAGTACTAATATCTTGCTGAGGTGGCAATAATGTAATGTACTCTTTTTTTTTTTAATGAAGAACATACTTGGACTGGTTGGATGTCTAGTCTAGTACTTGTGGAGCTGTGTCCCTTGGTCACTAATCATCAACCAAAGATGTTAAGGATTGTTCATCGTTCTAGAAAGACACTTTTTGAATACAAACAGTCAGAAATTGTTGTATGACATTCAGTGTGTGTAGGGGGGGAGATACCAATACCATGCTATCACAGTTTATTTTTGAGGGAAGGAGCAGCAGTCAAGGAGTGGATTTTTTTGTTTTCTTCATCCTGTTGTAAAATCAAGGAAAGTTCCTAAGGTAAAGGGAACTTGCTTACCACTTGCATTAACTTATACAAAGTCTCTTGAGTTGCTGTCATAAAACCAGCTCGTGGAGAAATGAGCTGGGATCATGCTAGGCTCTAGTCAGTATAATGAATTGCCTTGCTGCTTCCCAGACATAAGTTATTCCTTTGCTCCTGCCATCTTCTTTTCTGCATTTGCAAGTGATCATGATAAAACGAAAACAAAGCTTTTAAGTTAAATCTTGCTAGTGTGTTTATCTTCAAATAAGCTGAACTCCAGAATATTTTAGATCTTCATAGTATGCAAACCCAGTAGCACGTGAATGTAGATGCTTTTAACTGTAATATTCATATAGCATCTGTGCCAGCCAGGACTTTGTGCCATCAGTAGAAGGCATGGGAGATGCAAAACATTTTATTCCATCCATTCATCAGGTGTCAGCATGGAGTCTTGCAGACTTTTAAATATGTGAAAAGATGCTTTGTTTCTGCTGGGATTTATTAAACCATTTATACTAAGTATTTCTTTCTCTTGCCCATTATATCTTGAGAATTCTCACAGGGAAAGTAATACCTCTTTTTCCTTCATTGAGGGCAAAGGGAAGTAACTTAGTTATACATTGACACTCTAACAGGAGAGGATTTCTTCTGTTTCCATTACAGTATTCATAATAAAATACATGTAACATAGTAAGACAAAGCCGGGTTGAGATAAAAATCTCCAGTCCTTAATAGAAGTTTTCCAATAGTATGACATCTTGTAATTTGCAAGTAAACCCCATGTAACTCTGAATAACCTAAGACAGAGGAGACCCTCTGGTAGTTTTCCTGAATAGTTGTATTTTTAAGAATAGTTCTTTCTGTATTTGCAGAGAACTGTGACACTGAGTAAAGTCAGTGCCTATTCTTCTGTCTTTCTTCTGGAGCTAAGATACTTGAGTGAGGACTGGCCATTTTTGAATGAGCTCTTCCGGATGACAGTATTTTGTACAATATGTAAATCCTTTCCACCTTCCAGTAGTTATGACTTACTGCCACAGATTGTTGGAAACAAGTAGATGCAGATGTTTTTAAAAACTGTTGTGCACTTTGATACTCATTAATTAAGAGGTTTTACAGAAATGTGCTGTCCTAAGGCTGTGAGTGCTTCTTTGATCATCCTTTTCCTGAAATTCTGGGGCTTGTGACTCACAGTGCAGTGGTATTTTGCTGAGTAGCACATCGGCCATAGTCCTGCCCTCATGCAATCTTGGGTGTTCTGATTGCCTTAGGGATGGGGATCTGGTGCCCCAAAGGGAACAGTGAGCAATAACACTTGTGCTCATTTCTTGCATACGTCATACGTGTGGTGTGAGTGAAATGCTGCTCATTCTTTCTTGTATGGATTTCTTCATAGGAGTTGCAGCATACTTCAGGTTTATGGGAACATTATTCCACTGTATGGGATCAAAGTCTGTGTGCAGGTACTGCTGCCCTTGCACATACCTAGATACCTGTACCTGAAATCGTGTATGTATACGAAAGGATGTTATGTATGTGTATGAAAACGATCATGCTTTGAGTCTTGATCCAGACATGATTGAAGATGAAGAACAGATACCTTCCTTCCCCACCCCAAGCTAAACCACTGTTTTTTTAATGTTGTGGGGGTGGCAGCGAAGGGTGTTCCTGTTATCCCTCTGAAGCATCTGCTGTTGGCTATGGATGAAGAAAGGACTGCTACTGAGCTGTGATTTTCTGTGCCTCCCCCCCGCCCCACTGATCTATTTCCCTTAATCTAAGTGTTGTGTTTTGTCTGCCTCATTAGTTGTTATTACCATTAAGGAAATGTCTTTAGGAAATGTCAGTCTCATTCTTTCAGCCTGGAGGAGACGGAGTAAAAGAGTGGGGGTTTTAATCTGGTTTTGAGAGGGTTGTGTGTTGTGGTTAATCCGAAGTGCACTTTAGTGATTTCTAGGTTTTTACACTTCTGCTTTGTGCTGTATGTGGTCATATCTCAGAACTGGGGTTTAAGAATCATTTTGAGTTTGGAACCAGTTATTTGACCTCAGGACAGCATTAGGAAGCCCTTTCTCATCTGAGGCTTCCAGCCTCTTCACAGCTGGAGGTTTTGAAGTTGGAGCTGCTGCACATCCCAGTTACTTTTGTACAACCACAGTTGAGAGAAGATTCACCAAAATCACAATCCAAATAATTGTTGTTCCACCAGCACTGCTTCTGCATAGTGGAAACAGCTACTTGTAAGAGCTGCTTTCATAGGTGTAACGGCAAGAGTGCTTTTTGTTTCCTAGTGCTGTCCACATCCTTGACAGAAGACACTTCTTTCCAGCTAAACTGTCAAATTCTTGCTAGGTTATTTGTATGCTTACACAGAGACTTCAAGGAAGCTGTGCATCAGCTTTTCCTGGATTAAGGGTGCTTTTTAGAAGTTCCTAGCATTTGATATCTCTGGCTGATCCCATGTAATGTGACAGTAGCAGTACTTACTTGTATTAATGGTGTGTCAAGAAAACATCTATCCCTCTTTTAGCAAAGCCCCCCATTTTTCTGTGTGTATGCCATTAGCAAGACAGGTTCACCTTAGCTATTGTACTAAGTCACTGGCTTTTGAGGGCAGGAGGTGATCTAGAGGGTCTGATGGGCTCTGGCTGCGTGGCCAGTTTTGTAGCTGGCCTTTGGTCTTGAAGCTCTCTTAAATCTTGCTGATTCAGTTCTTGCCAAAGCATGTGAGAGAACTTCATGATTTGGAAGACTTGGAAACAACACAAAACAAAACCAAAACCTCTTGGATAATAATCATTATTGCAATGTAATAAACAGGTTTCACATTACTGCTCTTTCAAATCCACACTGAAATACTGACAGCTTAATGTACTTTTTTGTGTTGTCCAGAATATTTTTGCCTTTCTCTCTAAGTTTGAATCTTTTTCCAGAGGTCACAGTTGTTCTTTCTGGCTTCTCATATTTCTGCAGTTTGGTGCTAGTTAGCAAATTGACTGTTCTGATGGTAGTTTGTTTGTCTGCAGTCGGCCGCACATTACATTGCGGTGTCAGTGTTTTGGTT